GCGGGCAGGGACCCGGCTGGGGGAGCCTTCTGCCGCCGCCTCTCCCTCCCACGACCCCGGTGCCTCTCAGGGCCTGGCGGGCAGGGACCCGGCTGTGGGAACCTTCTGCCTGCCTCCCTCCCGCGACCCTGGTGCCTCTCAGGGCCTGGCAGGCAGGGACCCGGCTGGGGGAGCCTTCTGCCGCCTCCTCTCCCTCCCGCGACCCCGGTGCCTCTCAGGACCTGGCGGGCAGGGACCCGGCTGGGGGAGCCTTCTGCCTCCTTCTCTCCCTCCCACAATGCCACTGCAGCTCAGGGCCTGGCGGGCAGGGACCTGGCTTCTCCATGAGTGCACAAGAGACATGCTTTCTTTTGGCTTTGTTTCCAGGCTCCATGTATGTGGGGAATGTCTTGATTTTTATAATGACTTTTACTTTACTGAAAAAGTAACACTCACCCATTATAGAAAATTTGGAAACCACACAGGTAAGTAAAAAAGAGAAAAATCAGAACTGACCCAATCATCCAGAAAGTAACTACTCTTAACATTCCACTGAAGACACGGCCACGTAGGTTCTAGTTCGTACATTTGGTGCCACCGAGCTGGTTCCGACTCAGCAACTTTCTGTACAAGGAAACAAAACCCCACCTGATCCTGCCCCATCCACACCATCATCTGGGTTTGAATGAGCCCACTGTCGCAGCTATTGGGTCGCTCCATCTCTTGGGGGCCTTCCCCTTGTTTTTTACCACACATGGTGTCCCTCCCCAGGGACTGGTATCTCCTGACAACATGGCCCAAGACTGTAGGATGAAGTCTGGCCATCCTTGCTCTAAGGAGCATTCTGGCTGTATTCTTCCAAGGCAGATTTGTTGGCTCTGTGGGCAGTCCGTAGTTCATTCTATATTCTTTACCCACACCATGATTCAGACACATTAGTTCCTCTTCCTTCTTCCTTGTTCGTTGTCCAACTTCCACCTACATGTGAGGTGACTGAAAAGACCATGGCTTGGGTCAGATACACCTTCGTCCTCAAAGTGACATCTTCACTCTGTAACATTTTAAAGTGATCTTTTGCAGCAGATTTGCCCAGTGCAGTATGTTTGATTTCTTGACTGCTGCTTCCGTGGACATCAATTGTGGGTCCAAGTAAAAGGAAATCCTTAACAACGTCAGTCTTTTCTCCGTTTATCAAGATATTGCTTATTGGTCCAGTTGTGAGGATTTTTGTTTTCTTGATGTTGAGGTATAATCCATACCGAAGGCTGTAGTTTTTGATCTTTGTCAGTAAGTGCTTCAGGTTATCTTCACTTTCAGCAAGCAAGGTCATGTCATCTGCATGTTGCGGGTTGTTAATGAGCCTTCCTCCAGTCCTGATGCCAATCTTCTTCATATAGTCCAATTTCTCAGATTATTTGCTTAGCGTACAGATTGAATAAGTATGGTGAAAAGATACAACTCTGACACACTCCTCTCGATTTTAAACCATGTAGTGTCCTCTTATTCTGTTTGAACAGCAGTCTCTTATTCTATATACAATTTTGTCTTGAATACAGTTAAGTGTTCTACAGTTCCCATTCTTTTTGACGTTATCCGTAACTTATGATTCACACCGTCAAATGCCTTTGCTTAGTTAATAAAACACAGGTAACAACCTTTTTTGGTATTCTCTGCTTTGACCCAAGATCCATCTGACATCAGCAGTGATAGCCCTCATTTCACATTTTCTTCTGAATCTGGCTTTATAACTTCTGGCAGTTCTCTGTTGCTAACACTGTTGCAGCTGTTTTTTAATTACCTTCTTCAGCAAAACTTACTTTCATGTGATATTAATGATACTGCTTGATACTTTCTGCATTTTGTTGGATCACCTTTCTTTGGAATGGGCACAAATATAGATCTCTTCCATTCAGTTGGCCAGGTAGCTGTCTTCCAAGTTTCTAGGCATAGATGAGTGAGCATTTCTGGTGCAGTATCCGTTTGTTGAAACAGCTCAGTGGGTATTCCGTCAATTCCTGGAGCCTTTTTTTTTTTTCAGTTCCTTCAATGCAGCTTGGACTTCTTCCTTCAGTAATGTTGGTTCTTGATGATATGCCACCTCCTGAATTGGTTGAACATCAACCAGTTCTTCTTGGTATGATGACTCCATGTATTCCTTCCATCTTCTTTCGATGCTTCCTGCATCATTCCATATTTTGCCCATAGAATCCTTCAGTATTGCAACTTGAGGCTTGAATTTTTTCCTCAGTTCTTTCAGTCTGAAAAATGCTCAGTGTGTTCTTCCCTGTGGTTTTTCTAATTCCTGGTCTGTGCATATTTGATTGTACTGCTTGACTTTGTCTTCTTGAGCCACCCTTTGAAACACTCTGTTCAGCTTTTATTTCATCATTTCTTCCATTTGTTTTAGCGTTTTAGCTACTCTCTGTACAAGAGCAAGCATCAGAGTCTCTTCTGACATCTGTTTTGGTCTTTCTTTCTTCCTGTCTTTTTAATGACCCTTTTTGCTTTCCTCATGGATGATGATCTTTTTTTAAGTTGTGATTTGGGTGAAAGTTTACCGAGCAAATTCTTTTCCTTCCAGCAGTTCGATCCCATTTTGTTTCATGACATTGACTGTCGTCCCCACAGTGTAACAGCTCTCTTCCCACTTCCTCCCTATGGTTACCTTTTTTCTCTGTCAGCTTTTTTCCTATGCATTCCTGCCCTCTGGGCTATCTCCCTGAGCAAATAAATGCTGCCCTCCTGATCTCCCATGGTTGATTTTTCTAAGGAGTGCATCCATCTGGTGTAAGTGTTCACCCTGTATGCCTGTCTTATTGTTTGCCGGAAACCACAGGAGTGAGTTCATTTCCAGGCCTGAAGGGTGACTGGAGGCCAGTGTCTTGGGGCTTTCACCAGCCTCTGTCAGACTAGTAAGGCTAATCTTTTTTATGATTTTGAGTTTTGTTCCTCTCTATGCAGATTGGCAGTGGTAGCCGGGCACCATCTAGTTCTTTTGGACTCAGGGTCTTGTGGGCTGAGGTTCACATGGTCCACTAGTCCCTTGGACTAATTGTTTCCATGCATCTTTGGTTTTCTCCATCCTTCTTTGCTCTGAACGAGGATATACCCATTGTTGCATCTGGATGGCCACTTGCAAGCTTTTAAGACCCAGTTGCTACTCGCCTAGGTATGATGTAGAACAGTGATTTTGCACAGTATGTTACGCTGTCTGAGCTCGATGTTCCCTGTGACCGTGATCCTGAGCCTGTAGACCCAGCAGCTCACTGCCTTGAGGTGTTTGCCAGTGCTTCTGAAGGTGCTGCTGAAATCTCAGAGGGGCTGACACTTTTGTACTGTAAACTCTGGTGACCGGTACCAAGGAGAAGTTAGTTTTCAGCAGCTTACTCAACTCCTACGTGTTTCTCAGTAAGCAGATCCAGTGGTTGCTGGGCTCTCCCTACCAGCACTTCAGGAGGAATTAACAAAGACCCTCACTTTGTGTCAGGATGTGAGCTGGGGCCTCAGGCAATGGGCACTGCAGATCCCAAGGGGCATCTGGCCAGCTGTCACAGGAGCTGGGTGGCAAGGATTCAAGTCTCCTCGTCAGAGCTGTATGCTGGCTGAGGCAGCCAGGTTCCACCGTGGGGTCACTCTTCTGACGTGTGTGTCCGTTGTTGGCATTTTCTTAAATTGGACAGCTCTGCTGATTGGTGGAACCGTTGGCAGGGGGACTAGAGGTCTGGAGAGCCAGAGCCAGGTGAAGCTGCTGGTGCGGCTGTGGAAGATCTGTCCCCACCCTTCCACTTGCTGATTCGGTATTTCCTTCACAGTGTGGTTTTTCACAAGGAAGCCTGCTCTGCTCCCCCAGCTGTTTCTCTCATGAGCCTGGGTCGATGGGGTAGACGTCCCTCTGGTGCATTTGTGGTGGGAGCTTGCCAGGCCCTGGTGCTCTCACACTTAGAGAGTGTCTCTCTACAGGACACTGGCATCGGGATGACGCAAGAAGAGTTGGTGTCCAACCTGGGAACAATTGCCAGATCAGGGTCAAAGGTGAGTGCTGACCGCCCCATTGCCCCTTCCTATTTTTTTGACATAGGGTGGCGCCACCTGTGGGACACAAGGCCCAGAGTCTGTAAGTGCCACGCGTTCTGGATGCCAAAATCAGGAACCAGAGTTAGCAGGTGCACACTGCGTGTGGGTGTGCACGCCTTGTGGGGAAGGTTGGGATCCAGAGTTGCCAGATGTGCACCACGTGCAGGTGTTGTGGGGATACTTCATGGTGACGGTCAGGATCCGGAGTCGCGAGGTTGCCCTGCACGTGGGTGTTGGGGGAACGCCTGATGGCATGGTTTCATGTGTCCTCGCAGTGACCCCTGAGGTCGATGCTGGTCTTACTTTTGTTATGCAGATAAGGAGACTGAAACAATGTGCGTTTTGTCCAGAGCTGGAAGTTGGTGGACCCTTGGTCAAAGCTTGTCGGCCCGTGTCTACAACATGGCTTCACGTTCCTCTCTCAATGCTTCCATGAGCCATGAGCCTCGAAGCGAGGAGGGTCTTTCTCCTTCTGACAGCCCTGGGCTATGATGTCTGTAGGTTGGGTTGTTCTTATCACAACCACTTTGTGGATCCAAATAGTCATGAGGAGTGTGGCTCAGGGCCAGCGTGACTTCGAAGCTGTGATGGGAGATGTGTGTGGTGGTCACGATGTCCTCCTCACTTGTGATGTGTGTGTGAGCCCAAGAGACGCAGGTGTTCCTTGGCCACCCTCATGCCTGTCTTGGTGACCAAATGCTTTTCTCTTGGTTTTGTGTAGCACCTAACACAGCACTGTATGTCAGCTGCTTTAAAGTCTAGTGTTGGTCCACAGTGACTCACAGAAGTGTCTGCCTTTAAAGCTACTTTACCACAATGGCTCCTTTCTTTCCTCATTAAGTTTCTGCTATGTTTCTAGCAAGGACAGCCACTAGCCACATGTGGTTCTTTAAAGTAATTAAAATTAATTAACATTTAAAACGTAGCTCCTAGGTTGCACGAGACACCCTCCAAGTACTCAGTGGCCATGTGTAGTTGGCACCACCATATTGGACAGCACAGATACAGATAGTTCTGTCATCGCAGGAAGTCCTGTGGGATGGTGCCAGCCACAGCAGTAAGCGCACACATGTCATGTCATCCTTACTCCAGGAGCGTTGGCGACCTTGGGTTGTAACGACTGTCTTATGATGGTGCAAGAGATCATGTATTGCTCAGAATACCCACCAAGCTTAGAATCTAGGGCCCATCATGGAGAAGAAGACAGGCATAGAAGGTTCCCCTCTTCGTTTCTGAGGAGGAAGGAGGGACGGGCACCATGGAGCCAGAGCAGATCGGGGGCCGGGCCGGCAGGCATGTTGCAGCTGTCTGCAGGACGCCATGCGCAACAACAGCGAGGGAGGCCAGCACTTGGTGAATAACTTGAAACATCAGCAGCGACCTGTGTTAATCAGTGTGGTTTGTGTCAGTAAGTCCTAGTTCCTAAAGATTTTCTCTTAGGTTTTCTTCTAAAAGCCTTATGGTTTCACATTTAAATCTGTGGTCCGTTTTGAGTTTGTTTCCACGTAAGATGTGAAGTGTATGTCAAGGCTCTCATTTTTGCTTGTGGATGTCCAATGTTTCCTGCATCGTTTGTTCAAAAGACTCCTGTTGAATTGCTTTTACACCTTTGTCAAAATCCAGTTGATCATGGAGGGGGGGCTGTTTTTGGGTTCTCTGTCCTGCTCCAATGATTTGTGTGTCTTTCTCTCCACCAGCACCACACAACCTTGACTCTTTATCCACTAAGTCTTGAAAACAAGCAGAGTGACTTCTCTGTTTTTTCTCACTTTATTTATCTCAGTTGTTTTAGCTGTTCAGATACCTTTACCTTTCTAAATAAACATTTGAATAATCTTGTCTGTATCTACCAAAAAGAAAAGCCTTACTGGGCTTTTGATAAGAATTGCATTAAGCCTGTTTATCATTTTGAGGTGAATATTTACTAGGTTGAGGCTTCCAATCCATGAACATGGTATGATTTTTTTCTTCAACAGAAGTATGTCTGCATTTCTCTGTGACTGCTACCTGTATTTATCCAAATACATGAGTGTACTATGGTGAAGCACCTGGTTTTAGTGGAGAAGCCTGGGCCTTCCCCCCTGGGGTGTGGAGTGATGGTGCCTGTCTCAGAATTGCTAGAAGTGTATCAGGAGAGAGGAGTTAAGCACTGTCCTACTGACCTCCTTCTGCCATAGCAGAAAAACTCAGTGGGTGGCTTTGAAGAGCAGGAACTCACGATCTCACAGTTCAGAGGCATTGGCCCTAGGGGAGGGTTCTTCCCTGTTAATGGGTCCAGTTGTTGCTTGGCATTCCTTTATTTATAGACGAGTCTTCACATGGCATCTGTCTTCCCCCGTGTGTGTCTCTGAGTCTGCCGTGGTCTTTGTATAACTCAAAAGGAATTATTAGGACCCACGGGACTCTGGTGTGACCTCATTAACATAACAGAGAAGACTCTATTTTCTAGCAGGGTCGTGTTCTTATCAACAGGCAGCAATCCAAAACCCACTGACTCATAGCTACCCTATAGGACCGAGCAGAACTTCCCTATAGGGTTTCCAAAGCTGTAATCTTTACAGAAGCAGACTACCTCGTCTTCCTCCTGTGGAGTGGCTGGTGGGTTCAAACTGCTGAACTTGCCCTCTCCCACTGAGGGCCACACCTCCACCCCGCACACCCTCTACCACTGAGCACCACCGGTCTGCCCTGTCCTCTCTGTCTCCCGCTGAGCACCACGTGTCTGCCACCCACAGGCGGGCGCCCCTTTGCTTTCCCACCCCTGGCGTGTGTGACCAGTGCTGCACTTGTTTGACCAGTGAGTGGAATATGTGGAGCTGTGGGCATTGTAAACCAGATACAGGTTCACTCCCCCGCTGGCCCACTGGGTGGTCTTGGGCAGGTCACATGGCCTCTCTGTGACTGAGCCATTCCTTAGGAAATATTTGAGGATTGCATGAGGTCGTGGCTGCGAGGCACGGAGTCAGGGCTCTCCAGGGAGGGTGCCCCTGACCAGCCTCCGTCTGCCCTGAGAGGATGCCTCTGACCAGCCTCTATCACTGCAGGCCTTCCTGGATGCACTGCAGAACGAGGCTGAGGCCAGCAGCAAGATCATCGGCCAGTTCGGCGTGGGCTTCTACTCTGCTTTCATGGTGGCTGACAGGGTCGAGGTGTTCACACAGTCAGCGGTCCCAGGGAGCCCTGGCTACCAGTGGCTTTCAGACGGGTGAGTGAGCACGGTGCCCACCCCACCATGTCCCTGGGGCCCTTGTGGCCACGTGGGGATTCCACTGGAGCAGGGCCATGTCATTTGAGAGGTGCTGGCTTTCTGCAGCAGGTACACCAGGAGTCTGGGCTCTTAAAATGAAGTCAGCAGCCGCTTTCGGGGGAGCTGTTGTTCTGCCCTCTGCACAATCCATGTGGGACTGCATGGCTTTATCCTCGACACAGCCCACATGGAACTGCGTGGTTCTACCCTCCGCATAGCCCGCGTGTCCGTGTGAGACTGCGTGGTTCTACCCTCCGCATAGTCCGTGTGGGACCGCATGGCTCTATCCTCGGCACGGTCCACGTAGGACTATGTGGTTCTACCTTCCGCATAGTCCGTGTGTCCATGTGAGACTGCATGACTCTATCCTCGGCACGGTCCACGTAGGACTGCGTGGTTCTATCCTCCGCATGGTCCGCGTGTCCATGTTGGACCGCATGGCTCTCTCCTCGGCACGGTCCACGTGGGACTGCGTGGTTCTACCCTCCGCATAGTCCGTGTGTCTGTGTGGGACTGCGTGGCTCTATCCTCGGCATGGTCCATGTGTCTGTGGAGGACCGCTTGCCTCTACCCTCTGGATGGTCTGTTTGTCCATGTGGGACCTCTCAGCTCCTCCCAGGAATTCCACCCACCACCGTCAGGCCAGCTTGAGTGTGCTTCTGGGTTTTGTAGTTTGGCTTTGTCATCAGCCCTCTTGGTGTCCCTGTGCTCTGGAGCCAGCCTCCTCTGGACTCGTCCTTTGTGGGCTCCTCTCACTTCCCCTCACAAGGATTGCTTGACACCCTGGCCCACCCTCTGTGCTCTCATGGAGAAGAGGGGCAGATGGTGCCTTCTTCTACCTGCCTTGCCCGTGCATTTCTGGGGAGTTGCCTCCTAAGAGGCTGACTTGCTGTTTTGTGTGCTGGGGATGCTTCGTACACATTAATTAGATAGATGGCGGTCCCCCCAAGGCTCCAGACATCTCAGGAGGGTATTGCCTCAGCCACAGGCCCCAAAACTCCACTCCTGAATTACACCGTCCCCGGCGTGGTCTCTGCCTACCACTGTGGTCCCAGCAGTGAGCGGGCTGGCTGGCCGGCCCACAGCTCGTCCCCTCTGGGTGGAAGTTGAGCTCTGCCTGATGAAGAGGCTGAGCCCGCTGACATCCACCCCATCCCCTCGCTGGGTTCCAGGTGGTGATGCAGAGGTGTGTAGCCCTCAGATGCTCCCAGCTGTCCTAGAGGTTCCTAGTGAGCAGGCAGTGGCCTCTGTCCACATGCGGGCAGTCACCATCCTGGTCTGTGGCCAGAGAGGCTCTGTGGGACAGAAGTGTGTGGTACTTCTGGTTTTCCCTTCCCATGTGTGGGTGTGGACTTCCCAAGCAGGCGACCAGGCTGGCCCTTGAGGGGGTGTGCGTGGTCACACGTGAGATGGCCTTGTCTTCTCGTGTGCCTCAGCTGTGGAGCATTCGAGATCGCCGAGGCTTCTGGGGTCAGACCTGGGACCAAGATCATCATCCATCTCAAGGCTGACTGCAGGGAGTTTGCCGGCGAGGCCCGCGTGCGAGGTAAGGGGGGCCCTGCCAGGGCGGCTCTGGGCCGGTGAGTGGCGGCATGTGTGGGCTTCCCACTGCAGGTGGCAGCATGTGGCGGACCCTGTGGGCAGAGCAGGGGTGACCAAGCAACTCTGGTCTGGAAGGGACTGGGCTCCATGTGTTGGGCTATGTGTGGGTCCAGGACAGAGTTCCTCAGGATGCATGAGAAGGCAGATCTCATTGGCAGGGGATGCTGGTGCCCGTCCTTCCTCCTTGGGTAGAAGTCTGTTTTGTAAGCTGGTGGTTACAACACATGGGCATTTACAGACCTACCTGTGCTGGGAGACCTTGGCCAGCCCCCGCCGTCAGGGACCAGCATGCCTGAGAGCCCACTGACAGCAGGGGTGCTCCCCGGGTGGCGTCTCTCCCAGGCTTTCTGGGGGCTGATGTGGGTGAGGCCTCGAGCATGGTTCTTGTTTGATTCCGTCCCTGCGAGACTGGTGGGGTAGGCATGTTCCCTGCTTTGCCGGCCTCTGTGTCCCTGCCTGGGAGCTGCGAAGGGTCATTCCGGGCACACTGTATACCCCCCTGGAGCTGACTTTGGACTCGGTCATCCACTGTCTCTTCCAGATGTGATAGCCAAGTACAGTAACTTTGTCAGCTTCCCCTTATATCTCAACGGAAAGCGTATGAACACCCTGCAGGTGAGACCCCGGCCCCTGAGGGCTGGTCCCTAGGAGGAGGGGCAGGGTCACAACTGAGGGGGCAGAGACGGGGGGGGGGGGCTGGTCCCCAGGAGGAGGGACGGGGTCACATCCTAGGGGCACAGATGGGGGAGCTGCTCCCCAGGGAGGAGCTGCTCCTGTGAAGGGATGTGACTGTGGGTGTGGGAAGGCCCCAGCCAGGCACTCGGCAGATGTGCTCAAGGTTCACTTGCAGCCCTTCCAGTGGCCTCCTGCCAGGCTTCCCAATGCCCTGCCTCGATGGGGGTGCTGTTCTCAGAGCCTGTGGTTTTCTTCACTGCCCCTCCCCAAGCTCTCCATTCCAGGAGGCCCCCCCACCCCCCGAGATGGGGAGGCCTACAGAGTTGACGTGGGGGCCTGGAAGGGTGAGGGCCCTTGGCCTGAACACATTGCTGGGTCTGAGTTGCCACCAGGGGCCAGTCCACGCTGGTGGGGTGCAGATGGCAATGCCCCAACATGCATGTGGCTGTTGGAGGTGTTCAAACGAGTGCCTTGGGGGTCCCCACACAGGCCATCTGGACCATGGACGCCAAGGACGTGGGCGAGTCTCAGCACGAGGAGTTCTACCGCTTCGTGGCCCAGGCCTATGACAGGCCGCGGTACACGCTGCACTACAGGACCGACGCGCCCCTCAGCATCCGCAGCATCTTCTATGTGCCGGAGACGGTGAGGCGGGGGCGGGAGGAGGGGGAAAGGGGTGCCGGGATAGGGAAGGGTCGGGGTGGGAGGACCCCAGGGAGAGGCACGGGCATCCTGGGCGTCACTCTCCCATCCTCCGTGGAGCGGGGTCGGGTAGGGCAGCAGCTCTTCAGAGAAATCCCCCCAGGCCCTGAGGAACCGTCAGGTGGGGTTGAGCAGGGCACCCTCCGGGGCTCAGGGTCAGGAAGGAGGGCCGGCAGGGGCTCACCGTCTGATTTCTCTGAGTCAGCCTGTCCACTGCAGCCCCAGACCACCTGGTATGGTGGACTCTCTAGTTGTGGGATGAGGTAGCGTCCACCCCACGGACTGACCGGTCTCTCCGCCCACAGAAGCCGTCCATGTTTGACGTGAGCCGGGAACGGGGCCCCAACATTGCCCTCTACAGCCGTAAAGTCCTCATCCAGACCAAGGCCACCGACATCCTGCCCAAGTGGCTGCGCTTTGTCCGCGGTACGGGCTGGGCGCGAGGCTGCAGGCCAGCATGAGGCCTGCTGATCTTGGCCTTAGAGATGGTTCTGAGGGTCGGGTCAGGGCGAGTGGCCTCCACTGCCGGCTCAGCACTAGTCTGCCTGGACGCCTCCACAGCCACCCTGTGCTTGGGCCCTGACTCCACATAGGCAGTCCTGCCTTGGGCCCCAGTCCCGGCTGCCAGTGGCTGACAGGAGCACAGCCGTTGGCATCGAGTCTTCTCAGTGTCTAACAGTACTGCACGAGTTCCACACCGACACATGATACGTGGGGGAGGTTTCCAATGCCAGGCATAGGCAGTGGGGGAGGAGCTCTGGTAGCGTAGTGCCTAAGGCACTTGACTGCTAACCAGAAGGCTGGCAGTTCAAACCCACCAGCCACTCCTCGGAAGGAAGGTTGGGCAATTTCCTTCCGTAGTGATACTGCCTCAGAAACCCAAGGAGGGGTCGCTATGAGTCAGGTCCAACTCAGTGGCATGAACGACAACAACAACAACGGGGGAGGTTTCAGTTTATTGAAGAGCAGTGGCCAGAGGTGGTGAGAACAGTTACGCACAGCTGCTGACCCAAGGTCGGAGGTTCAGGTCCACCCAGACGCGTGCTGGGAGCGATGCCTGGCACTCTGCTTCTGAAGAGGAAAGCAAGCTCAGCCACCGAGAGCCCTGGGGAGCCCAGGGCTCTGCTCGGACACACGCGGGGGCCCGTGAGTCAGGCTGGGCCAGCGGCCGCTGGTTTGGATTTTCATTTGTAAGCCTGACTGAACAATTCTGCATCAAAGTCTTTGTCTCAAGTTAGCAGACATAATTCGATTCTGACTCACAGTGAACCCCACTGGGCTTCCAAGGCTGTAAATCTTTACAGAAGCAGATGGTCTCATCTTTCTTCCACAGAGCAGCTGGTGGGTTTGAACCACTGACCTTTTAGTTAGCAGACCAGTGCCTTGACCCCACTACATCACTGGAGCTGTTTCATGTTAGCAGACAAAGGGACAAAATACAACATGTCTGTGATTTTTAACATGAAACCCAGGATGTCAAGAAACAAAACAGAAAAAACCCTGAGCGCCCAGGGCATTGTTTTCAGGCTGCTCCCGAACCTAGACCCCACTCCCCGCCAGGCCACCCTCCCAGAGCTTTGCCTCAGGTGTCATCTCCACATCGGGGCTGTCTGCACGGACTCCGGGTGACAGGCCAGCCTCAGTGGGAGCTCAGGGGGTGCCATCCCCGCTCCCTCACACCCACACCTTGTCTATTCTCCCAGCCCGGCCGAGGGTGATGGGCAGTCAGAATGGGAGGAGCTGGCAGGTGGTCGCAGGCCAGGCCCAGGGTGCCTGACGCTCCGTGTCTTGCCAGGCGTGGTGGACAGCGAGGACATCCCCCTGAACCTCAGCCGGGAGCTCCTTCAGGAGAGCGCGCTCATCAGGTACACTGCGGGGGTGGGGAGGTCCGCCCCAAGGGGGCCTTGGTGCTACACGGAGGAGACCTCTGAGGGGCTGGCCTGGCTCCCTGAGGCACGTTCATCCCCGAGCATCTTGCTCTGTGGCCAGAACAACCTGAGAAGGGCCGGCCGCTTCTGAGGCTGGAATCTAGAGGGAGAGGCTCCCAGGCCAGACTGGGTCAGCACCCTGGCTGCTAGGATAGTTACTAGGGCGGTGGCTCTACTGACATCGAGGACAGCTGCCTGCAGAGTGGGGTTCGCACACGATGGGTGGAAAAGTGGGGTGCACGGTACAAGGGACAGCCCTCCCTGACCCTTTGAGAACGAGTTGCTGATCTGGTGGCCCATCTTCCCCAGGCAGTCCTCCAGGTACAAATGGGGTCCATTCCTTAGTTTCTAAGTTGAACGAGTAGGTAAGTACATGAACAATTTCCTACAGAAGGATCAGCATGAGGCTGGTCCCTATGAGGCGGAGTTTAAAGGTGTTCCAGATGTGCAGTTGGTCCACGCTGCCATCCCACTCCATTGACATCAGCTCCTCCTCCTCCCCGCAGTACCCTCCCTCCTGTCTCAGGGTTTTATATTCCGTACTTTGCTATAACATCTCACAGAACTCACGCTGCCAAGGAAACAGCTTATGCTGTAGTGGCGTCTGGGAGGCTGGTCAGTACGAAATCCGTAGGTCAGCGTGGGTTTGGAGCATTCTCCTCACTCGCATGGTGGTGGGGGCTGGGAAGCCCAAATCAGCAGGTCGGACGAGTGGCTGCTGTCCCGAGTCCAGGGTGAGATGACGAGCCAGAGGCAGGATCGGGAGCAGGAGGGTGGACTTTCCCAGAGGATCGCAGGTATGTCCTTGACTTGAGTCACACCCTCCAGCAAGGCAGGACTCAGGATACATCCCACCCGAAGCGGGGATCACACAAACCAGAAGAAGAGCTCACTGCCCTCGAGGCAGTTCTGACTCACAGCGACCCCCAGTGGGTTTCTGAGGCTGTAAATCTCTATGGAAGCAGGTCACCTCACCTTCCTCCTACTAGTCCCTTTGCAGGAGGAAGGTGAGGCAACCTGCATCCATGAAGATTGACAGCCTTGGAGACCCTGTGGGGCATTCCACTCTGTCCTCTAGTAGTTGGAATCTACTCCACGGCAGTGGGTGTGGTTTGGGGTTTGCATCCCTGAAGACTGGCAGCCTTGGAAACCCTCTGGTATAGTTCCACTCTGTCCTCTAGGGGCACTGTGGGTTGGAATGGACTCCACAGCAGTGGGTGTGGTTTGGGCTTTCCTTCCATCAAGAGTGACAGCCTTGTTGGAGACCTTGTGGGGCAGTTCCATTCTGTCCTCTAGGGGCGCTGTGGGATGGAATTGACTGGACGGCAGTGGGTGAGTTTAATACAGGAGAAAGCTCAAAGCCTCCTTGGTTTAAAAGCTTCATGGTGCAGCCTGTGAAGGAGATTGTATCGAAGAATGTGCTGTGAGCTGGGGTTGGTTCAGGGAGCCTGGGTGTCACAGTGGTTAAAGCACTTAGCAGCTAACCAAAAGGCCAGCAGTTTGAACCCACACTGCTCTGCAGAAGGATTAGGCAGCTTTGGAAATGGGAGCAGTTCTGCCCGGCCGCAGGGTCTCTGAGTAGGAATGACTTCTGGGTAGCAGGTTTGCTTGTTTGCTTAGAAGTCGGTTTGCTTGTTTCACAGTCAGGGCAAGTTTAGTGCCGTTAAAGGGCAAGTAGGAGGCGCAGCGCTGGAGGTGACTGTTCATCTCGCCAAGAGACTTGGAGGACAGCTACCTCGCCAGCCACCTGCAAGAGACCCATGTTTGTGTCCATTCCAAAGAAAGGTGATCCAACAGAATGGAGAAATTATCAAACAGTGTTATTAATGTCACACACAAGGAAAATTCTGCTCAAGATAATTTAAAATGCTTGTAGCAATACCCCAGCAGGGAACCGCCAGAAATTCAGCGTGGATTCCAAAGAGGCTGTGCAGCAAGGGCTGTCGCTGCTGCTGTCAGATGGATCGTGGCTGAAAGAACAGAACCCAGAAAGATGCTTACCTGTGTTTTATTGACTGTGCAAAGGCATCTGACTGTGTGGGTCATAACAAATTACGGATAACGTTGTGAAGAATGGGAATTCCAGAGCACTTAATTGTGTTCATGAGAACATGAACGTAGCCAAAGAGGCAGGCATTCAAACAGAACAAGGGGTTACTCCATGGTTTCAAATCAGGAAAAGAGTGTCAGGGTTGTATCCTGTCACCACACTTATTAATCTGTATGCTGGGCAGATAATCTGAGAAGCTGGAATGTGTGAAGAAGAGCATGGCATCAGGACTGGACGAAGACTCATTAACAGCCTGTGATACACAGATGACATGACCTTGCTTGCGGAAATTAAAATCTCTTGAAGCATTTACTGATGAAGATCAGAGACTACAGTCTGCAGTGTGGGTTGCACCTCATCATAAACAAGAATCCTCACAATTGGACCAGTAAGCAGTATCTTGATAAACGGAGAAAAGATTGTCAAGGATTTCAAATCAGTGTCCCTGGATATGTCAATAAAGAAACCAGACATCATATTGCACTGGCCAAATATTCTGTAAGAGACCTCGTTAAAGTGTTAAAAAGCAAAGATGTCACTTTCAGGACTAAGGTGAGCCTGACCCAACTCATGGTATTTTCCTTTGCCTCACGTGCACATCAGGGCTGGGCAGTGAGTAAGGAAGACCAAAGCAGGGGTGAAGCACAGTGGCTGCAACAAGGACTCCCCAGAGCAGCGACTGTGAGGACGGATGGTGTGCGACCACGTAGCGTTTGCCTGGTGCCTGGGGCCCCTGGGAGGTGGAGCCGACTCAGTGGCACCTAACGGCACGACGAAAGAGATGTCTGTAAGGTGGATGTTCGTAACCTGAGGACCGCCTGTATCTCGACGAGCAAGGACATTCTCATGGTTACAGCACAGCCACCGAAGCTGGGGAATTAATTGAGCATTGAGACATTACTACTGCCATCTCACCCTCAGACCCCTGTAAGTACGCCCACTTGTCTCCTCACGTTCCTGCCAGGAAAAGGACCGGTCCCAAGTCACACAGAGCTTTTTGTTGCCATCTTAGCAATTGTAAGTCTTCCAGACCACGAGCATGGGATGTCCATCTGGTCCGTGGCCCGTGAACACAGGATGTTCTTCCTTCCTTTTGTTTATTGTCGTTAGTCACCATCGAGTCAGCCCTAACTCGTGGGAGTCCACGTACAACAGAACGAGGCGCTGCCCGGCCCTGCCCCGTCTTCAGGATCCGTGGCTGCAGCCAGTGTGTGTGTCAGATGCCTCCGACCCCAGGGCCCATCTCCGAGCGCGTAGGTTAGGCGGCGTTCGCGGGTCGTCCCTAAGGGCTTATTGGTAATTCTCAGAAGTGGACTGCCAGGTTTTCTCCTCATCTGTCTTAACCCGAAGCTCCACTGAAACCTGTGCACCTGGGTGACTCGGCTGGTGTCTGACGCTGGCGGCATAGCTTCCAGCCTCCCGGTGACCCGTCGGCCACCACCGTGCGACACTGGCGGGCATAGCTTCCAGCATCCCGGTGACCCGTCGGCCACCACCGTGCGACACTGGCGGGCATAGCTTCCAGCATCCCGGTGACCCGTCGGCCACCACCGTGCGACACTGGCGGGCATAGCTTCCAGCATCCCGGTGACCCGTCGGCCACCACCGTGCGACACTGGCGGGCATAGCTTCCAGCATCCCGGTGACCCGTCGGCCACCACCGTGCGACACTGGCGGGCAGGGGTGGTCGCTGATGGAGGCCTGCACCGGTCCTCCCAGCAGCGTTGTGTAGTTCAGTTACGAGAAGCTCCCTCCCTGGTCAGCTTTATTCTGGGCATCTTACTCTTTTAGGTGCTGTCGTAAATGGGGTTCTTTTCAGATTGTTCATTGCTGGTGTTTAGAACCATAGCTGATCTTGGGGTGCTGATCTTGCACCCCGCCACTTGGCTGGATCTGTTTACTAGCCCGAGGGCCTTTCTCATGGATGCTGCGGGCTTCTCTGTGTATAGGATCATGTCTGCGAGTAGAGGTAATTCCACTTCCTCCTCAATTTGGGCGTCTTTCATTTGTTTCTTGCCTCACTGCTCTGGTCCCAGCGTCCGGTGCAGCAGATGTAGCAGTGGTGAGTGTGCCAGCCTTGTCATGCTCCTGATCACAGGGGACAAGCTCAGCCTCTTCACTGAATAGAATGTCGGCTGTGGGGTATTTGTCAACATTCACCTGTGCAGGCCCTCCCCTCACCCCGGTCCTCCTGGGCTGAGGGACTGACTGGTTTGAGAAAGCGCAGTGGAAGGGGAAAACCTTGATGAATTTAAACACGTTTCCTTTCTCCCAGATCATGAAGGCAACATGTGGCAGTTCAACATTTTTAAAGAAATAGCAGAAAAAAAATAAAAACAACCATAATCCCATTGATAAGATTGCTCCTAATTACATGCCAGCTCAGTGCTGCCGAGTCAGATCCAACTCATAGCAACCCCTCCTTGGGTCTCTGAGGTGGTATCACTACGAAAGCAGATTGCCCAACCTTCTTTCCGAGGAGCAGCTGGTGGGTTTGAACCACCCACCTTCTGGTTAGCAGCCAGATCCCTTAGGCACTACGCCACCAGAGCTCCCAGTTACACGTAATGCCGCAGAAAGCATCCTGACCCAGAGTCCCGCACAGATAGCATCAGCGTAAGTCCCAGATTCTAGGTGCAGACAAGGAGCTCTGATGGCGTAGTGGGGAAGGTATTTGCCTACTAACCATGAAGTCGGCGGTTCAAACCCACCAGTTGCTCTGCAGGAGAAAGATGAGGCGATCTACTTCCATAAAGAGTTACACAGCGTTGGAAAGCCAGTGGGGGTCGCTATGAATTGGGATCGACTTGAAGGCAGTGAGTTTGGTTTTGGTTTTTAGTGTACACATAGTACCATCAGCATCTTGGGCTGGGTTCTCTAAGGAAGCAAAACCAGTGAAGCTTTTAGAGAGACAGGGGGGGAGGGGACAGAGGAAGAGAGATTTCTCTGAAGGAAGTGGCTCACGCAGTTACAGAGGCTGCGGGTCCTAAGTCTGTGGGCCACTTGGGGAAGCTGCGGGGTGGACAGACCTAAGTTCGGGAGGCAGGATAGCAGGTTGGTGGCTTGAGGCCGACAAATCCAAGATCGGCAAGTAAAATGGCAGATTGTCGGCTCAGGCTGTGAAGACAACGATCTCAAGATCGGCGGGCAACGCAGCAGGCCACTAGTTCAAGGGCAGATGACAAGCTAGATGTGGGATCCCAAGCAAAAAGCCCTTTTGTAGAGCTTTTCCATGTGTGGGAAGAAGCCACACCCCTGAGGAAACGCCCTTCCAACTGACTGGCTGCTCACAGCAGATGTAATCATGGAGGTGATTACATCATACATCATAACTGCCAAAACAATGAGAATCGTGGCCCAGCCAGACTGACACAGCCTCATCATCAAAACTGGCATGTACACCTTGGGTCCCCGTGAAGACTCAGCACACAGCAGTGTACTGAGTGCACACACACCATCGGCAGGTAATTGTTCCAAACTGAGATTTTGCTTTGCTTTTCAAGGCACACCTTCCTTCACTAAGGATCATCAGAGGACGTGAGCTTAAGGGCCGTGTTAATTTTCCGCTGTCCACTCCTTTTAACCTGTTCTGTCCTGGAGCACTGAGGAGCCCCAGGAGAGACTGTCCTGTGGTTGTTTGTGGGTCGCAGTCAGACATGCACATCTTGTCACCGGACCCCCAGCTGGAAGGCTAGGGCCGTTTCCATGGCTGGGGGTCTCCAGGAGGGGTGTCACTGCCATCCTGCCTGTGGGGGCGCCCCTCCAACACTGGGCTTCCCAAACACTACCCTTCAGTTGTAAATCTTTCTCCATTGAGCAGCAGGGGTGGTTGGTGTGTGTCCCTGCCTGGTTACTGGTAGGGCTGCAGGTTTCTCAAGTGCTGCTGGCCATTTGTGTCTTGGGGAAGTTCTTGCTGATGTCCAGTGCAATATTGTTGTGTAGGAAACTCCGGGACGTCTTGCAGCAGCGGCTGATAAAGTTCTTCCTGGACCAGAGTAAGAAAGACCCTGAGAAGTACACCAAGTTTTTTGAAGACTACGGCTTGTTCATGCGGGAGGGCATCGTGACCACTGCTGAGCAGGAGGTCAAGGTAGGGCTGGCCACTGAGCCAGGGCCAGGGCAGAGACTGGGGAGGCCACAGGCTTGCTGAGCCTTGGCCAGAAAGACGGTTGGGAGCCTGATTGGCCAGTGAGGCATCTGGCTTTGTGAGTCCCATTGCTCCACAGATAGCAAGCCCTAACTGTGGGTGGACCCCTGGTCCCTGGAGCTGGAAGGATGCAGACACAGTATGTCCCCACAGCAGGGGCAGCTCCAGCCAGGGGTGGGGAGAAGTCGTCATGGTGTCTCAACCAGGGAATGCACATTGAAACCCTCAAAGGTGTGCCACTAGGGCTAGTAGTGGAGTGAGAGCAACTGTGTTCAGTTTTGTGCTTCAGTTTTGCATTTTTTGTTGCTGTGTTCTTTTTTATTCTGCAATTATTTTGGGGGATAAAATTAACATAACATGAGTTGGATGGTGTAGTGGACTAGTTTGTAGCTCCCTCACTGTGGGCAGTCATCGCCCCTAATTCCGGAATGTTTCCATCAGCCTAAGAAGAAATCCCCCCTCCCCGCTCATCAACTTCCTGGCTCTGGCTGTTTCCTACAAATCAGACTGCACGGCACCTGCTGTCACTCGGCGTCACTTTCCCGGGTTCCTCCACATTGTTCCATCAGCTCGGTGTTAACACCACTCATGTGAACGTGTACCTCTCAGCAGCTTCACGGGTCCAGGTCGGAACTGCTGTCACCCCCTGGCCAGGACCCCACCCACCCTGAAAAGGAACAGAAAATTTAGGGAAACACGGAGGTCATCTGCAAACAGAACCCTGTACTGGGAGCACCTTCCCGATGCAGTCTGCAGTTTGGCACGGCATTCGTACCCACAGAACCCGAAACCCAGCCAGCTGCGGGGGGGTCAGTTCCAGCGCTGGCAGCCGCGTGTGTGTCTTTGCCGTGCCTCTCCACTCGGATCAGCCCCACTTCAAGGGCTCAGGCCTCAGGTTCAGACAACCCAGGAGGGGCTTTGGGATTTCCCTTCCTAATGTCCCCATCAGCCTTTGGAGGGGTGAGGCTTGACCAGCTGCGTCCTCTCCCCACTCCTCTCAATCCACTTTCACAGAAGAGACCACAGGCCGCCCCAGATCCCGGGTTTCCGAGCTAGCTTTTTATTGTTGAGAATACACTGAGGAAAACGTGCGCCGGTTCAATGTTTTCTCCAGGTGCCAGTGACACTGCGGCAGCCTGCTCCTCCGAGCTGTTCCTCCTCCATTAACATCAGCTCACTGCCCCCGGAGTTCCTACCTTTCGAGTACTGGCAGCTTGATCCCACGTTGCTAATTCTTGAAAGAGCACAGTGCTCAGGCAGGCGTTCTTTAATAATTCAGTGAACTGCTGTGCAGTGTAAAGACCTCAGGGAGTATTTCTGTTTAGGGTTTAAAGATCTCAAGACAGTAGTGTCAGAGGTTTACACTCCGTGGCTCCACAAAGTCTAGAGTCTGTGAGATTTTGGAGTTCTGTTCTGCACTTCCCTCCTCTTGATCAGGATTCTTATATGGAATCTTTAATGTGTTCCTGGCTTCCAGGGCCACTACCTATGCTGCGTCTATGGGATCACGGGGCATGAATGGTTGGAGCAGCCATGTGCTATCTGTCTGTCTGCAGGAGGACATAGCAAAGCTGCTGCGCTACGAGTCCTCGGCCCTGCCTGCCGGGCAGCTGACCAGCCTCATGGACTACGCCAGCCGCATGCAGGCTGGCACCCGCAACATCTACTATCTGTGTGCACCCAGCCGGCACCTGGCTGAGCACTCACCCTACTACGAGGCCATGAAGCAGAAAAACATGGAGGTGGGTGGGCTCCCCGGGCAAGGCTGCCACATGGTCTCAGCCCCTGGGCCAGGCAGAGGACCTGCCTTCTGCAGGGAGGGTCTTGAATCTCTTGACCTGTGCTCAGTGTAAGAAAGACACGGGTCCCGAGCTTCAAGCTGCTGAGCAGAGTCCATGGGCACAGAGCCCCAGCCTGCGGCTGACCTCCTGAGGCCCTCACTCACAGGCAGGACTGGGCCTTTATGAACAGCAGGGTCAGGATGTCTGTGCTAGGATGTGACCATTTGGTCCACCGACGTGGGCCATGAGCCCTAGGTACCCAGCATCCCACTGCATCAACTGCAGGCCCCCCCCAGGGTGCAGGAAGTCCTCGGCCCTCTCCCTCCATCCCATCCCAGGGGCCCCCGGCCAGGCCAGCACTCACCTCCTGGACACCCCCAGGTTCTCTTCTGCTATGAGCAGTTTGATGAGCTCACTTTGCTGCACTTGGGGGAGTTCGACAGGAAGAAGCTGATCTCCGTGGAGACGGACATTGTTGTTGACCACTACAAGGAGGAGAAGTTTGAGGACACAGCCCCAGGTTGGTGTCCTGACCCCCAGACTCCACACACTGGGGCCTAGGGCCACCGTGGACCCCTCTGGACGTGGTGGCTGGGGGAGGGACCTGCCTCAGTTGTTTGGGGCCCACCGAGTAAGAGACGAGAAGCTGTTTGGGAAAGTCTAGTTCCCAGAAAATGCCCTTGCGGCACGACTTCTAAATCGGCCAAGCTGCCGAGCCTCAGATGGGCCCTTACGGACTCACGGCCCTGCAGCCAGAGGCGTCTGTTAGCCCCCCCGTGTCTGCTCCAGTGTAAATGAAAAGCGTTCGTCTCTGGGTCAGAAAGCCAGGTGGGGCTTTCACCTCAGGGCCCAGTCACTGGTCAGGGGGCCGTGGGGTGGGGTTGTAAGTGATGGGTGGCTGGGGGAAGGGGCTGCAGTGGGGCTGACCCTCACTTCCCTATAGCTGACGAGCGTCTGTCAGAGAAGGAGGCTGAAGACCTCATGGCCTGGATGAGAAACGCGCTGGGGTCACGTGTCACCAACGTGAAGGTGAGGCCGCCTACGCCAGCGCCTGCTGGTGGACTCCCTGTGCTGCACGCAGACATGCTTGCTGCTCCTGGAAGGCAGGGCCCGCCTCCCCCACCCTTCCCACTTTGCCAAGAGAGTTCACAGCCTGATGGAGGCAGAAGGCCATCCTAGGGAGAGGTGGGAGGTCGGGGGCTGCAGACATGGGCAACCTGAGGGAAAGGAAAGGCCCACCCTGGACCCCAGACAGGGTGCTGGTCTAGTCTGGACCCTAATGGGGTATGCGTGCTTTAGAGAACCAAGACCCAGCAGCTTTGTGCAGAGCTAGGAGACAGAGAGACTGTCCAGTCCTGTGAGGGCCACACCCAGGTGAGAGGTGTGCAGGTGTCGTGACGGGAGAGTGTAACTCTGCCTCTCGGTCCAGAGGAGATGATGGGGCCCTGGGAGCTGACGGTCAGGAGTTTCTGCCAGGGAGCACCTGGAACCAGACATGCACGTGACTTGTTAGTGCTGTCCAGAGCATGTGAGGCATCTACAGACCACGGCTGTCTAAGCCTCAGACAGTCACCTCCAAGGAAGGTGAGGTCAGCACCCCATTCTAGGATGAGGAATCAGGCAGAGCCTCTCAGGGTCCTACAGCCAGGCAGTTGCATGGACGAGTCCAGTCAGAGTCAGGCCCGTGACACCAGGCTGCCCTGCCGCTGGGGGTGAGGAGGCTGAGGGCCTATGGGTGAGCAGAATGGAGGCCACTCGAAGGAGCAGGCCTGACTGCCTTGTGGGGAGAGGTGCACCTGGTGAGGCAGGGCCCCGTGCAGCCCTGAGGAGGGCTTAGGGCAGGAGATGGCATGCGGGAGGCACTTGCACGGTGTGTGTGGGGCGCCCGTCTTCATGGTCCTCGGAGGAGCTGTGGGGCTCAGTGGTGGCCCTGGAGGAGAGCGGACAGTCTACCAGGTGAGAGGCCTTTACGGTAAGCGACTGATGAGAACCTGGGGCGCTTGGGGCGAGAAGAGGAAGGAATGAGTCTGCCTCCCTGCCGAGTCAGTGCTGCTGTGACAGAAACGCACGTGGGCTTAGCAGGCTGACGTTGACCGCTGGCCCGTTCCTGTGTTCATGCAGGAGACTGACAGCCCCAACTCGGGCTTTAGGGGAAGAAGGGCTTTGTGTCTTCAGCTTCTGTTTCTGGGTGCCTGGGTACTCAGTCTCCCCCACCTGGGCTGCTGGCCCACTTGTCTGTCTAATGAGTAGTTGGCTTAAAACACACCCTGCACTGATAGGGCCTTGGAAACAGAAAATTCTGCCCGATTTTCACGTGGGCTTCCACCCACAGGTATAGAGTTCGATGTATTTGAGGAACAGCTCAGTTGTAACAGCCCGCACATGGAATGCTAACCTACAAACATCCCGTGGTGTGGTTAGCAAGGCCCTGCCTGTTATGCAGTGATCTGGAGGGGTCACTGCTCGCCAGCCACCAGGGAGACACTGCACTCTCCTGTCCTGTGGTCTGGGGGCGGCGTCACACTCGGTTGAGAGCCTGGCTTCTCACGTGTGCCCTGGCCTGGCTGTAGGTGACCCTCCGCCTGGACACGCACCCAGCCATGATCACTGTGCTGGAGATGGGCGCCGCCCGGCATTTCCTGCGCATGCAGCAGCTGGCCAGGACCCACGAGGAGCGCGCCCAGATCCTGCAGCCCACCCTGGAGGTCAACCCCAGGTGAGTGCCAGGGGTTCAGGGCTGGGGGCCAGCACCCTCCTTTCTCACAGGCAGTGGTGGCAGTTCCGTATGTTTTCTTGTGTGATGTTTAATACGTGAGACGTGCGTGAACCCTGTCTTGTGGGACAAGTGATTACCACTCAGTATGGCAGCGGCCTGGCCCCAACACTGCTGACCTCGGGGCACTCGCTCCCTACCACTGTTCGTCCTCCTCCGCAAGGTGACCACAGGCCGACTCCTGGAGTCACTGCTTTGCTTTTGGGAGATACGGTGGCACTGTGGTTAAAGCATTCGGCTGCTAACCAAAACGTCAGCAGTTTGAATCCACCAGCTGCTCTGCTAAGAGAAAGGTGAGGCAGTCTGCTTCTGCAAGGATCGCAGCCTTGGAAACCCTGTGGTGCAGGTCTCCTCTGTCCTGTAGGGGCGCTGTGGGTCAGAACTGTCTGGATGGCAGCTTTTTGGAAGTTTGAGTGACGTCCCCCTCTGGTGGCAGGTGGCTGTTTGTTCATTTTCATAGCTGGGTATGAACTACGTTGACTCACCCATCCTACCTTTATGGCCACGTCTGTGGAGGTTTTAGTTGGGGGCTGTGGGGGGTGTGGCTGCCAGAACACTGGACAGAGCACACAGCCCTGCTGTCCCCCAGCCTGGCTCCATCCACCCCTGCCCCCAGGTGACACCCCAGCCTCTGAGGGCAGGTACTTTTTCAGTAGTTTGCTGGCCCATCGGTCTGCCCTCTTACTGACTTGCAGACTATGGGTCTCATGGCCCACTGGGCCTTTCTCCTCGTTTAGGAGCGCTGGTGGCATGGTGCCTAAGGTCTTTGACTGCTAACCAGAGGGCTGGCGGTTCAAACCCACCAGCCACTCCTCGGAAGGAAGGTTGGGCAATCTACTTCTGTACTGATACCGCCTCGGAAACCCAAGGGGGGGTCACTATGAGACCCGACTCCACAGCAGTGGAGCAGTTCCCCTGCTTTAATGTCTTAATTTTGCAAGAGCAAGTCTGCCATCTTCTTCGGTAGCTGTCCTTTCCCTGTGGGCGTCATCTGTCCTCAGGCCGCGTGCGTGACTTGGGAGTGTCTGTCTCCGTGGCACAGCTGCAGGCACCCGCTGCCTTTCCAAGGCTCTGCCACACGCTGGGTTTAGGAGAGCTGGGCAGACGTTACCCTTCACCTGAGAACTGTATTTTTATTTTGCTTTCCTTTTAAAATTGGGATTCAAAGCCAAATGCACAGGTGGCTTCCTGTCACTGCCCGTTAGGCCGTCCTTGCCTTCAGCTGTGTGGACTACACTGTGTGTTTCCTTCGTGGACATTTGGATGTGGGCTCTGTTCATCCTCCTCTTTGGCTTCCGGGTTTGTAGTTTGCTCGGGAGGAACTATGCCCTTTGATAAACTCTCCTCCCCTCCAGGTGGTCACCCTTACAGCTCCTCTTGTGGCTGCAGGAGCAGAGGCAGGGTCCGGCCTGGCTGCTTTGTGGCTGAGTGACAGCTCCCCCCATCCGGGTCCTGTACCACATCCATGGGTGTGGGGGTCTGGTGAGGGGTGTTCCAGACCTAAACTGGCTTCAACACCTGGGCCTTCCTCCTAGCTGTCAGCTGTTCCTGCTCTGGTGTGATGGCTTCCTATTACGATGGGAAGATTCCTTGGACGTTTAAGGATAAACTGAGGGGATGCTTCCCCCTGTATGGTCTTTTCATAGATCTAGCCAGCCAGTCCTGTTCCATTCTGGAGGGTTCTGGTGTCGGGGGGGCAGCCCCCACCCGTCACTGGACCCTCCTGTTGTAGGCATGCACTGATCAAAAAGCTGAATCAGCTGCGAGACCGGGAGCCTGAGCTGGCCCAGCTGCTTGTGGACCAGGTAAGATGGGAGCTCCATTCCCTCCTCCCCTGCATTTTGAGTCCCTGGCTCAGAACAAGGACTGAGCACCCCAAAACATGTCTTTCAGATCTACGAGAATGCCATGATAGCAGCAGGGCTCGTGGACGACCCCAGACCCATGGTGGGTCGCCTCACTGAGCTCCTCACCAGAGCCCTGGAGAAGCACTGAGGGCAGTGTCCCCAGGACACAAGGACGCCTGACACAGAGCTGCGAAGACCACCACCTTTGCATTTATTTACCTCGATTAAAGCTATTCTTTCTCAATCTACGTGTTGCCTTTCTGGTGACGCTCTGATTGACAGGCAACCTCTCCATAGTCCCTGGGGCCACAGCAGGTTCATTTCAGTGTCACCTCCACTGGGTAGTGGTCACTGATGGCTTGAGCCTAGGGGAAACATGTGCTCAGAATGGGGATGTCAGCTGGCCCCACAGGGTGGTCTGTGTCTGTCGGGGGGAGGGGCATCCCAGGCCGCCCAGAGCAGGGGTCTAACAGCAGAACACACACCAGCTCATCACTTAGGCCATACGCAGTCTGGAAGTCAAAGGGCACAGCCGAGTTGGGGACGATGGCACCTTGGAGAACAGTTCCAGCAACCACGATCCTGCAACGGGGCAGAGCTTAGCACTGTGGGCCCCAAGGAAAGCTACAGGACACACCCCAGCACGCACCTTGCTGCCCTGAGCTGGACCTTCAGGACAGAACCCCCTGCACTTTGGCCTCCTGCCCACAGGGAGCACCCACCTTTGTGCCTGTGGCAGCTTTGGGGTTCACACCTCAGACTCAGGAGAGCAGGATGAGTTTCTGCCTCACCTTTTCTTCCCAAGCCTGCCTTACCCCCAACGAAGAAATCTTAGGCCATTTCATAAATGGATCTGTGTGGTAGTTAAGTCTGTGTGTCAACTTGGCTGGGCCTGGTTGCATGGCTGGGCAGCTGGATGTATGACACTGGTAATCACCTCCATGATGGAATCTACTGGGAGCAGCTGAGTAGCTGCTTAGGGAGGTGGTCTGCTTCCTGTATATAAGAAGCCTTGGGGAACGGTCTCTAGCTTATGACACGCTTAAATCCTGCATGTAGCCGTGTTGTCGTTCAGCAGCCTGCCATGCTCTGCCAACCTTCGGACTTTCAGTGGACTTGAACAAATGGGCTGCCATATGGTTTGGTAACATTGGGACTGTTTGTCAGCCTTGGGCTTGCCAGTCTCAGCAGCCAGCAGCTGAGTGAAGAAAAGCCTCTAGCTTCAGTGGGCCAGGACCAGGAGGCAGAGCTGCAGCACAAGGCTGAGGGACTTTCACCCAGCCCCTAGAGCCTGGAACTTTGAACTGGGACTTTAAGCCTCCAAACTGTAAGAATAAGCTCCTGTTTGTTAAAGCATTCCATTTGCGGGGTATTCTTGTTGGAGCGGCACCAGAGCAATCTGCTACTGCTCAGGGGTGAGGTCTTGTCAAAAGCCACCTGAAATCAGTGAAAATGGAGAAGGAAGTTCAAGGAAACACCATTTTAGGTGGTGCCATCAACAGGAGCCCTGGTGCCGCAGTGCCTAAGGCATCTGACTGCTGACCAGAAGCTAGAGGTTCAAACCCACCAGCCACTCCCTGGAAGGAAGGTTGGGCAATCTACTTCCGTAGATACCACCTTGGAAACCCAAGGAGGGCTCACTATGAGTTGGATCCAACTGGACAGCAGTGAGGCTTTTTTTTTTTGTCAAGGGTAGCGTGCCCAGGACTACGCTTAACCTGTAAGGAGAGAGCATCGTATACAGAAAGCTGAGACGTTACTGAAACGAATGGAAGGAAGGTCACAGTGTGCTTGTGGATTGGAAGCGTAACACAATGAAGATGTCAAAAGCGTCCAAAGCAATCCACACATTCAAGGCAATCCCCGCTGAAATCCCAACATCTTGCTTCAGAAATGGAAAAGCCAACCCTGAAGTTTACATGAAGGGAAGAGACCTGAACAGCTAGAGAAAGCCTGAAGACGGCGAAAGCTGGAGGACCCCACTCACACCTCATTTTAAAACCTACGATAAAGCATCTGTTGTGGTTAGAGCACTCAGCTGCTAACCAAAAGGTTCAAACCCATCTGCTGCTCCATGGGAGAAGACGAGGCTGTACGCATCTGTAAAGGCTACAGCTTGGTAACAGTATAGTAACAGACGTACGGGACCAATGAATGAATTCAGAGTTCCACAGATGTACAGGTTTGCCAGGGGTGCTAATTCAACAGAGAAGGAAGACTAACATAAACGGTGCTGGGGACACTGGATTTCCACCTGCAGAAGAATGAAACAGAATCCCCGGCTCACACCACACCCAGAAACTAATTCACAACGGAACACGGAGCTAAGAGGAAGACAAAACCTATGGGCCTCACGGGCCTGGAGTTTAACGAAGGTTTAGCAGTTAGGACGATGGAAACACGAGCGGCAAAAGACGGGTCAACTTCATACAAATTAAGGACGTTTGTTCTTCCAACGAGTTGACCCAAATGAAGACAACCAACAGAGCGGAGCAAAGTTCAGGTAACACGTAACAGTAACGGTCTCACACCCAGTAAAAAAAAAAATGGGCAAAGGACTAAAGCAGCGATTTCACCAGGACAATCAAACGACCAAGAATCACATGAAGAGATGACCCACGTCATTAGCCATCACTGAGCTGTGAATCAAACCCACAGTGAGACAGACCCCTACTCCTCCATCAGAACGGCAATGAGCCAAAAACCCAGAATACCGGGTGCTGGCGAGGCTGCAGAGAATGGTGGACGTGGGCCCCGCTCCACTGCTGCTGCCGACAGGCCGGTGGCTTCTCAGACAGCTGGACCCAGAACCACTGTGTGGCCCAGCAACCCCAACTCTAGTACACCCAGAAGCGAACGCGGGAACACAGACAGAAACCTGCCCACGGCACTTTTCACCACAGGTGAAGTGACGGACGGCGTACGCACGCGTGAAGAACGCTCCTGAGCCCGGGGCAGAAGGAAGCCCTGCTGCTGCTGCGGCGCAGGAGACCCGGACAGCACCCTGCTGGTTCCAGCACTGGGTGATCTCACAGGAGACCAGCGACAGACAGACCAAAGGTGGTCAGTGCTTTGGGGGAGCTATCTGTGTTCACCACAGCAGCTCTGGCAGCGTGGTGCCTACGGCACTTGACTGCTGACCTTCCACTGGAAGGAAGGTTGGGCAATCTACTTCCGTAGACCCAAGGAGGGGTCACTGTGAGTTGGGTCTGACTCAATGGCAAATAACAACAACACAGCAACATCTGTTTTCACCACACTTGAAGGAAAAGGTCTTGTGACGTATCTCTGACATTTGGGAGCCCCGAGGGCTTATGGGGCAGGCTGACCTGTCATAGGGGCAGTGCGTGGACTTCACAGTGGTGTCAGCCGTGTCAGGGATCAGCCACTCAAAGGCAGGGCTCGTGTGCAGGCGTACAGATGCCCAGTGGAAGGGGCTCACGTAGCTGCAGCCAGCATTGAAGTCACCCATCAGCATGATGTCCTGCAGAGGCAGCCACCTGTCAACCCAGGATGTCAGCCCAGGGAGCGAGCAAGGGCCCCCAGGGTAGGGCTCACCTCCATGTCCCACTTCTTCTGCACGTCCAGGTAGACATCATAGAGGGCGTCGATCTCGGCCACTGCGTCCAACGGGGCCGCGTGCAGGGGGACAACAGCAAACTCACTGACTTCTGAGGAGAGACCATGGTCCCATGGAAGGGCACACAGTGAGAAAGCCCAGGCTGGGGTGGACATGCTCCAGGTCACGTCTGTATACAACCAGCCACCAGGGGCTCAGGGTCACTCACCTGTGAAGGGCGAGGAGAACTTGACAATGGCCGGCTCCCGGGCGAAGGTGTCATTCCCGCAGGGCTCACAGCCATCATCATATTGGTAGCTGTCCAGCACGGACACCTGGTCTGGCCTGTAGGCCACAAGGACATTCACATGAGGTGTATGTGGGCCTGGCTCCTTACGCCTCATCTCCCCCGTGTCTGTGGCCTCAGTGCAGACCCCTTCTCCCCACCACCCCTGGGACTAGGGGCCTGCTCTGTAGACAGTGCGCAGCCTTTATGCCCCAGGCGGTCCCAGAGCAGCCCTGGCCCTCGGCTGGCAGCCTAGCAGGAGCGGTCATGGTGAGAGAAGGCCCACCCTCGCCTCACCTGTACAGGAAGAGGTAACGCTCCTTGTAGCTGTTGCGTCCCAGCGGCTCACTCACCACAAAGTGGAAGGTGTCTGGTGCATGCCTGGAGGCAAGAGATGTAATGGCCTTGTCAGGGGCCCCCAGAGCTGTCCCCTGTCCCCAGTGAACCCCAGAAGCACCCCCCAGGCCACTGCATCACTCACTGGTTTAGGCTGTCCAAGAGCCACCCCACAGCTGTCAGGTGGCTGTCCCTGACCTCCTGCACCAGGGCGATGTCATAGCGGTTCAGGATCTGAAGGGGGGGCGCACGTCACTACAAAGGAGGGCCTCCGGCCACCACGCAGAGTGACAAGAATCCTGTGATGGCCACAGCCCTGCTCTGCCCTGACTGACCCACAGGGTCTGAGAGAAAACATCCCCTCCCATCGCCAGCAGTCTGTAAACCCATGACCTGCCCCAGCCCTAAGAGTCCAGGCCCCACTGTCCCTGCTGGCTGGCCGCCCTGGCTCACCTGCACAATGTAGTGGGAGAGGGTAGCATTGGACATCTTGGTCTCCCCAAACGTCTGGATGTTGAAGGCAGCTATTCGCAGGGACAGGGCCACCTGCAGCACACCGGCCACCGTCAGCAGTGCCAGCAGCCTCCAGGCCCTCATCCTGCAAGAGGCGGACTCCGCGTGGGTCCCGGACCGTTGCCCTGCCGCCTCACCCCCCAACCAGCTTGGCAGCGGCCGGTCCAGAGCAAGGCCCACTCTGCCTCACCCTGGGCTGTGGCTCCAAGAGCCCTCCTGAGGGGACTGGGCGCTTGGCACTGCCCCCCACACACCAGACCTGGTCACTTGAGACAGCTCTCAGATGACAAGGCCAGGACTCTGAACAGGCTGGCAGCAGCCTTCTCCCACGTGGCCTGTGACAAACGCAGCCTAGCCGGTGTCCACAGATGCCGCTGCCACCCAACTTTAAAGGCTGCGGTGGCCATGACCGCGGGGGCGTGCCCATGCCTCACCTTGAGTCACGGAACAATGGCCCTGCCTGTGCCGGCGCCCATGGAGGGGGGCAGGCTGGCAGGTGTCCCTCCACAGGGCGGCTTCCTGTCACTGTGAAAACAGCACCTGGCAGTCAGCTCGGCCCCCAGCTCCGGCTGTCCTTCACCCGTGCACACCCCTAGCACTGGCGCAAGCCCCGGGAGGGAGCACAGGTGTGCACAGCTGCTCCCCTGGCTGGGGGCACCCCTGCTTCCTGGGAGCCAAGACCCAGGCAGGCGGTGGTGCAAGCTGCCCCCGGGTCCCAGCCTCTCCTCTCGGCAGCCCAGCTCCCCAGAGCCCGGCCCTGCAGTCTGCACCAAGGCTGCAGACGAGGCGGGAGAAGTGGGGACTCGAGACGGGCGTGTGCGTGAGCAACAGGGAGGGCAGCAGGGCCCGTCTGAGCTGGAAGCGAGCCTGGAAGCTTTCAGGAGGCAGGTGGGCCCTGCGGCTCCAAGTGGCCACTGAAGGCCCCCAGCAGCCTCACCCAGCCTTCCTGGGAATTCCTGACCTTCCTTCCCGCTGTCCCGGGTCCAGCGGCTGCCCTCACAAAGGACCACAAAGCTGGCGGCTTAACCCACGCGTCTGAACCGAGGCATCGGCAGGCCATGCCCCGCACAAGGGCTCGGGGGAAGGCCCCTCATCTCCTCCAGCTTCTGGTGGCGCCAAGTGTCCTGGGCCTGGGGCCACGTCACTCCAGTCTCTGCCTTGGCTGTCACATGGCCCCTTCCCTCTGTCTTCCTTCTCTCAAGGACACCTGTCACTGGACTTGGGGCCCAGCCAGCTAGGACAGGACAGTCTCTCCCCCAGGAGCCTCGAATGCACCTGCACCTCACTTGCTGCTGTCAAACGGGCGCCAGCTCACAGCCACCCCGCCGTGGGCCCTCGCAGCGCCAGCCCCGTCCTTCGTCTGCAGAGCGGCTCGTGGGCTCAAACCACCCACCACGTGGGAGCAGCCAAGCACCTCAGCGGTAGCTGCAGACGTGAGCCCATCTTGGGAGCCAGACCCCTGGACCCCTGGACCCCAGCACCTGGACAGCCCTTTCCTGCCGCACCAGGTGCCGCGTCCCAGGGAGGACCCGGCATCCCTCGGGGTCCATGGCTTCCCCACTGCCCCGCCCTGCGGGGCTCTGACCCACACAGGAGGCCAACGTGTGCCCTCCAAGAGGGAAGGCAGGGACTGGGTACCGGGCCTCAGAGTGGGAGGGGCCGCAAGGGCTGCAGAGTGGGCAGTGCACGTGGCCTCCGGCCAGGTCTCCAATGACCAAGACCTGCTGACAGGCAGCCCTCTGTCGGTCCCAGTGTGGTCACTCATCGTTCCCGTCAACGTGTGCAGGTTGGTGTCACAGGTGCTCAAGCTGCCAGCAGCCCCTCACAGCCCCACTCAAACGCTCCCCTGATTTCTGCTATTCTCAATTCCTCAGGCCAGGATGCCCCCAAGTGCATCAAAACCCAGGGGACCCTGATGGACGTGGAACACTGGCAGCGCGGCTCCCAACATCACAGCCATCTGCCTCCATGGGGCCCTGATGGACGTGGACACTGGCCACACGGCTCCCAGCATCACAGCCGCCTGCCTCCATGGGGCCCTGATGGACGTGGACA